TGCTGAGATGTAATTTGGGTCTTTAATTCTTTTTATGGCTAGTGACATAGCTCATAGATCACAAAAAGGAAAGATTGAAAATACTCATTTTTTCTATTGTAATGATAATATATAAATTTAGGGTAAATGCTGCAAAATAAGAAAAACTTTAGCCTCTCACACTTATTTTCCTAAAGGAATCATAGTGTCAAGAATAACGGAGAGGTAACATCAAGTAAATTAGAACAAAGCACAGGGAATATTTCTAGATATAGCTCTCTGCAGCTCAAAAGGTAACAAGTCACTAATTGTGTATACTAGTACTAGTATATGCCCTTAATGACAGGTTTATGATATAATTTTGTGAGGCTGTGAAGATTTAATAAATCCAAATGTAAATATTCTAGAAGTCCTTGTGCTTTTCTTCTGCATACATAGCAAACACTGAATTGATGTCCACTACTATTCTAAACCAAAACACGATCCTATCCAAAAATAAGTAACAGCATTATAAACACATTTTAGCTAATCTTCTGGCTCATCAATGAAATGGGTATTTCCATAGTGGAGGAAACAAAAAGGATTATCACATAAATGGTGAGAATTGTATGAGAATTTTTAAAAAATCAGTAAGACAAGCTGAATTTATACATTTCAACTGGGTGGGAAAATTATTTTTCTTTTGACACTAGACAAATTGTATAAGCAAATTTACATACAACAATTTAAAATTCCTAAATGGTTTCCCAGCTTGAACAAGTAGAGTTAATGGACTCTGAAACAAGCCACAAAGTTGCTGGGTGTTTTCTATTTTGTTTTGCTTTGCTAAAGAAAAATAGCAAATACAGATAACCACAGTTGAGTTGTAGAGGAAGTCAGTCACAAGTATTAAGTATGCCTCTGTATAGTAAGCAGTTGCTTAACTGCGTAAGATAAGTATTAAAGCTGGACAATGAACTTCCACCTTGTGGTTCATACAAGCTAATAAGAGTATAGGAACCTGTCCTTGCTTGGCTCTCAGCCTCCAATATCATTAATTTCTGCAACTGAAATCTGGTTTATGTCTAAGTATCTATATATGTAAAGGCCTAATATGCAAAGTGTCCCCTCAGGAATTCGACTGACCAGAAGTTCGATCACTCACTATGCCGTGGGCTGACCACCAGGGGGCGGCGTGGAGCAAAGGAAGGCCCCAGCCAGCAGCTGGCAGCTGGGGAAGGGAGGCCCTGGCTGGCAGCTGTTAGGGACCCTAACCACACATGAATTTCATGCACTGAGCCTCTAGTACAGTGGTTCTCAACCTGTGGGTCATGACCCCTTTGGGGGTCGAAAGACCCTTTCACAGGGGTCGCCTAAGACCATCGGAAAACACATATATAATTTATATTGTTTTTGTGATTAATCACTATGCTTTAATTATGTTCAATTTGTAACAATGAAATTGGGGGTCACCACAACATGAGGAACTGCATTGAAGGGTAGAGGCATTAGGAAGGTTGAGAACCACTGCTCTAGTACTTAATAAAATATTGTTTTCTTTCTTATTTTTTTGTTTTGTTAATCATCACATGAAGATATTTTCTCCATTGCTTTTCAGAAAGAGTAGGAGGGAGGGAGGGGAAAGAGAAAGAGAGAGAAAAAGAGAGAGAAAGAGGAAGAGAAACATCGATGTGAGAGAGATGTTTACCTCCTGCACCGCCACGACTGGGGTAGGGTGCAAACCCACAACCAAGGTACGTATCCTTCACTGGGAATCAAAATCCTTGGAGGGGGGTAGGGGAACCCTTTCGTGTGCAAGCTGACGCTCTAACTACTGAGCACACCAGCCAAGGCATAAATGATTTTCTTAAAAGAAAACAGTTGTAGGGGAAATTCCATTTTAAAATCTTGTAAGACCAGCAAAATTCCTGTTATTCAATTTCCTTGAAATGAAACCAAATTGACATGTTGGAAATTTTGTCTTTTTTTCAAAGAGCCAATGTTCGACACCATTTAGCAGGCAACAGTTTTTCAAAAGGAAACAATAACTATGCATTAAGTAGTATGTGGCACTTACTAGGATTAAAAACTTCTATGCTTACATATATTCCTTCTATGATAAGTAACTCTTATTTTAACTAAAATATTCCTAATACAATTTGATAGTATTCCAAATGTTATACTGGTGTGTTGTCAGAAATTTCGTCTTTTAGGTAAAGGACATTTCTGAATGCTAGAGTGATTAATAAGCCTAAGTCAAAATTTCATGAAAAGATCTACAGATCTCTAGATCTTAAACAATAATAAAAAGCACCTTTAAAGAATCAATGACTCAACTCACCATCATAGATATATCAGTTGAAAAAGATGCTAGTTTACAACATCATAGTTTTTTAAACCACTTTTTATTTTTCAATTACAGTTGACATACAACATTAGTTTCAGGTGTACACCCCAGTGATTACACATTGTATAACTTACAAAGTGATCATCCCAATAAATCTCCTACCCATCTGACACTACACATAGTTATTAGAATAGTACTGGCTATATTCCCTATGTTGTACTTTACATCCTCAAGACTGTTCTGCAACTACCAATTTGTACTTCTTAATCCCTTCAACTTTTTCACCAATGCCCCAACCTCCCTCCCATCTGGCAACCATCAAAATGTTCTCTGTATCTATGAGTCTGTTTCTATTCTGCTAATTCATTTATTTTGTTTTTTAGATTCAATTGGTGATAGATATGTATTTATTGCCATTTTGGTCTTTTTATCCCCTTCTTCTTCTTAAAGAAGGCCCTTAAACATTTCATGTAATACTGCTTTGGTGGTGATGAACTCCTTTAGCTTTTCCTCATCTCAGAAGCTCATTATATGTCTTTTGATTCTCAATGATAGCTTTGCTGGGTAATCTTGGTTGTAGGTTCTTGCTTTTAATCACTTTGAACATTTCTTGCCACTCCCTTCTGGACTTCGAAGTTTCTGTTGAGAAATCAGCTGGAAGTCTTATGGGTGCTCCTTTGTAAGTAACTAACTGCTTTTCTCTTATTGCTTTTAAGCTTCTCTCTTTGTCTTTAACCTTTTGCATTTTTTAAAAAATATATTTTATTGATTTTTTACAGAGAAGAAGGGAGAGGGACAGAGAGCTAGAAACATCGACGAGAGAGATCGATCAGCTGCCTCTTGCACGCCCCCCACTGGGGATGTGCCCGCAACCAAGGCACATGCCCCTGACCGGAATTGAACCCAGGCCCCTCCAGTCCGCAGGCCGATGCTCTATCCACTGAGCCAAACCGGTTCGGCACCTTTTGCATTTTAATTATGATGTATCTTTGTGTGGGCCTCTTTGGGCTCATATTGTTAGGGATGCTCTGTGCTTCCTAGACTTGTATGTCTATTTCTTTCACTAGGTTAGGGAAGTTTTTATGTCATTATTTTTTCAAATAGGTTTTCAATTTCTTGCTCTCTCTCCTCTCCTTCTGGCACCCCCATGATGCAAATTTGGTACTCTTGAAGTTGTCCCTGAGGCTCCGTACACTATCTTAATTTTTTTGGGTTTTTTCTCTTTGCTGTTGTGATTGGGTGGTTTTGCTCCCTTATATTCCAAATCGCTGGTTTGATTCTCAGCTTTATCTACTCTATTGTTGATTCCCTGTAAGTTATTCTTCACTTGAGTTAGTGTAACCTTCATTTCTGACTGGTTCTTTTTTAAGGTTTCCATGTGCTTTTTAGTGCTGCTGAAGTTCTCCCTTAGTTCTCAGGGGTGACCTCTACAGTTGAGATATCCCTCCTGATTTTTATCCACCACACGTGGGTGTGTGACCAGCCCTGTTCTGCATCTCCACCCCTCCTACCAGTCTGGATGTGGCTTCTTAGTTAATCCCCTAGTTCTAGGGCTTCTGTTCAGCTATATTTCAGGCAGTTTTGAATGATGGTTGTTCTGTAGTTTAGTTGTAATTTTGATATGGTTGTGGGGGATTCTAGTACCGCTTTTTCCTATTCCCCCTTCTTGACCAGAAGTTCACATCAGAGTTTAATTTTGAGCCAATGATGATCACAACAGTTACAGGCTAACAACAGGATGCACTTTGAGCTAAAAAGTCAAATATATAAAGAGCATACAAGTAGACCTTTTTATTTTTTTTTATTTTAGACCTTTTAAAAAATAACTTTTATTTAAAATATTTCACTGCCCTAGCTGTTTTGGCTCAGTGGATAGAGCGTCGGCCTGTGGACTGAAAGGTTCCGGGTTCAATTCTGGTCAAGGGCACATGCCTGGGTTGTGGGCTCGATCCCTAGTAGGGGATGTGCAGGAGGTAGCCAATCAATGATTCTCTCGCATCATTGATGTTTCTCTCTCTCCCTCTCCCTTCCTCTCTGAAATCAATAAAAATATATTTTAAAAAATAATAAAATATTTCACGATGTGAAGTTACAAATGTATTTCCCAGAGAATATTGAACATACCCTCTAGCAAATATCCTTTCTCTTATTTTTCTCTAATGTATACTTCTTTACCACAGTCTTACTTCATGGTTCCTTGTCACCTGATTTCTGCTCACACACATGCCTGAAATAGCACTTTCAGGGCAGAACAACAGAGTGACCTAGAACTCTGGTCCTAAAGTTAGACACACCCTGGTTTGAATCCTGGCTCTACCAATTATGACCTGTGTGACCTTGAACAAATAACTGAACTAAATTTCTTCTTGATAAAAGAAGGTTCATTATAATAATTGAAGCCAATTAAAATATATGGTGTGCTTAAGCACAGTGCCTGGCACAGAGCAGGCATATTATTTAGACCCTGCTGTTGCTACTGTTCTTCCACTCTGCTAGGACAGCAATGTGCTGTATAGCACAGAGTACATGACCAACAACTGTCTTCCACCCAGTTCCACTGCCTGTGGCTTGTATATTGCAGAATACGGTTATTATAAGGACCCAGGGAGATATAACAAACAGTTGTTTTAAAAGAAATTAGTAAACACTATTTACTGATTTCTGAAAGGCAAAAGAAAAAGAATAAACTCCTTACCATGGTCAGTACACTGATTTCTGACATCCTCTATGCTTTCTACTTTGATGGTTTCTTGAAGAAAAATGTAACAACTGTCTTGGAACTGAACCCAGTTGGATGAAGGACAGTCTATGTGGAAAAAGAGAAACACTGTTCAGTAACTTGAAAATAAGAATTTCATGAATTCCTACAAAAATATTAGATTTTCACAGAAAAAAGGAAAGGCAATTGCCCTTGTTAATTCAGCAACAAGGCTTTCAGTTTTTGTTAAAATAAGAAATTGATGTGTGAGACAGTAATTTATTTTTCTCCATTAAAAATGATGGCAACGAGAACTGAGCAAATGAATCTCTTCTGGTTTTACAGAGCAAAGTTCTAAGTCTTTGGGTTGCTTAGGAATTCAGACATAAATTATAGCATTATTGCCAAGGCAACAAACTATCAAGGAAGACAATCAGAATTACAAGCTCTTTTTAAGGTCACCTTTGTAGCATGCAGTAACAATTCCAAAATTATACTTCCAAGAACAGAGAAGAAAACAAGTTGCTGGATTATGAATATTCAGACAAGTTTTCATATTGCACTGGAAAACAAGATTGATGTTCTTCTGAATGTTCTTAATTTATCACCTCATGAAAGCAGATTCTTAGAACTGGTTCTAGGAAACACAACTGTTTCTCTCCCTCTACAGCTGTGAGGTAGAGGCACATCTCCTTCGTTTCCATCTTGGTCTCTCTTGTTGGTCATTATAAAGGGGTACAGTTTAAAGCCTTGGTTCTAGAACTTCATTATTAGCATTACAAGCAAAAGTAGGCCTGTCTGTAAGAGTTCGGTTTCAACGGCCAGAATGGACAAAGGATACAAGGTATTTACTGAATTTCAGTGAATAAAGGAGCATAAGGCATGAATCTTCCATATTCTCTCAGGTCTATATAGGGAAAAGCACTAAGATTTTACATTGTTTTATTTTTAAGTTCGATATGTATTATAATTTTAAGACAAACAAGTAGAAGGATGCCCTACTACAAAGATCAGAACTTAACAATCAGCTATGTGAGTCTAAATTCAGCAACTTCGATCTTACTAAGCTCAGGATGTGGCAGAGACCAGGAGTTGTCTCTGGTACTAGACCTCAGCACAGAGTACATGGCCACCAAGCTAGGTTATTTCCCAGTCTTCTAGTAACTTCTGGACAATAAGGTCTGAGCAGAGGTGAAACGTGTAAAATGTGTCCAGCCAGTGTGGCTCAGTGGTTGAGCATCAACCTATGAACCAGAAGTTCGATTCTCAGTCAGGTCACATCCCCAGGTTGCGGGCTCGATCCCCAGTAGGGTCCATGCAGGAGGCAGCTGGTCAATGAGTCACATCCCCAGGTTGCGGGCTCGATTCCCAGTAGGGTCCATGCAGGAGGCAGCTGGTCAATGATTCTCTTTCATCATTGGTGTCTCTCTCTCTCTCTCTCTCTTTCTCTCTCTCTCTCCCCCTTCCTTTCTGAAATCAATTTAAAAAAATTTTTTTAAGGAAGAAGTGTGCTCCTTGGACCATATGTCCTCTTTCCCACTGGCTTGAATATGGTTAGCCATCTCTAATCCTGTAAGCAATGGAAGCAGCCTAGGAATAACAGAGCAACAAGACGGAAGACGGAAGGATCCTAGGTGGAGCCATCATATCACACTCAAGTTGTAACAAGGAAGAAAAGAAACTTCTGTGTGGTTAAATCCACTGTTAATTCAGGTCACTGTTATAGCAGTTGGATCAATAACCTACTTAGTACAATGGGCTACTTAGAATCATCCTGATGTATGAGACCTGAGTTTTTCCCTGGCTTCGTACTCCTGGCTTCATTTACTAGTAGTAGTTAAGCCATAAAAGATGCATGAGCATGAGGGTAGGTATTCCAAGGTACAATTTATTCTATGTACAGGTTTTTTCTTGCTGTTTTATAAATACTTGCATTACACTTGTGACTGACAACCTTGGCTTGAACTCCTGGAAATCTAGTACTTTTCCGTAATGGTGGCTTAAAGTTAGTTGAATAGGGATGTTTTAGCAGTAAGCACTTTCCTGTAGGACAATACTCTTAGTAAAATATTAAATAAAAAAACGCAAAAAACTTTGGCTATAAAATTGTATGTGCAACATGTAAAAAGTAAGGAAGTCCAGAAAGGTTCAGGAACTGGAGAGACCAGACACCTTTATAGGAGGAGGGTTCAGGGATTCCTTAAAAACAGCGTGCTTGGTTGAAAGTCTGTATAAGGAGCAGCTAGACCTTTAGATTCCCTTCCTGAGAAACAGTGCTCAACGATCTCACTTTCACCACACATGTCTGCTGCCTTCTTCAAAAGTCTGGCCCTTACTCAGAACAAAAGACTTTTTAAAAAAATATATATTTTATTGATTTTTTACAGAGAGGAAGGGAGAGGGATAGAGAGTTAGAAACATCGATGTGAGAGAAACATCAATCAGCTGCCTCCTACACACTCCTCACTGGGGATGTGCCCGCAACCAAGGTACATGCCCTTGACCGAATCAAACCTGGGACCCTTGAGTCCGCAGGCCGATGCTCTATCCACTGAGCCAATCCGGTCAGGGCGAACAAAAGACTTTTATTTCTCCAAAACCACTTCCAGATCATCAAACGTTATTCTTTGTCTGCTCATCCTTGGAGGTCCAGGCCATCCATATATACCACCTTCTCTAAGACATCGCCACTGGAATTTATGTTGACTCCTCTTCTAAAACACCATCCAAGGCTGGGTAAGGTACCAAGAGAAACATGGCTTTGAAGTCAGACTGACTAAGGTTTTTATCTCCGTGGTGACACCTTGGACAACTTATTTCTTGTGTTTCCTCAAGAAAAAACTGAGTAACTCCTAGGTGTCAGCTAGAGTGGGCAGTGCTCAGGGGTAAGGAGAAAGGGCTATAAAGAGGATGAGTCCCACACTTAGTGTTTAGTCTGACGGGAGAGTCAGACATATAAATATGACATATATTACAAGTGTATGATAGGCAAAATGCATAAAACTATTAAAGAATAAATAAATCATGTATGGAATAAGGGACATTTCAGAAAGGAGGCAATATTGGAGCTCTGACTCACAGGATAAATGAGTTTGCTGTGCAAAAAAGGGAAAAGTGAAAGGAAAAAAAACATTCCAGCACAATGACAGGCACCTAGTAACTAGAAAAGAGTCAAATATTCTTTGACTGAGTAAACTAGGCAGGTCTCTCCCTCCTCCCCCTTCTCCCACCAGACAATAGTTTCTATATTAAGACAAAATAAACAGTCATTTCCAGGTGAAACTCAAATAGAAAGTCACAGGGCAGATATTATTAATTGAAAACTTTGATTTTTATTCTTCTCCTATTTTTCCTGTTTCCTTTTGCTTTAATTTCTTAAGCCTCATGGAATTAAAAAAAAAAAAAAAGGATATGGGAACGGACTCCATTACATTTAATGGTACCTGAAACACCTTTATAAATCACTGGAAGTTCTGGAACCACGGATTGACAAATGATCTTTTGTATTATTTCTAGTCAAAGCTATGCATGGTATTTTCTAAGTTATTTTTCTTTCTTCTTTTTAATTTATTTTTTACAGAGAGGTAGGGAGAGAGAGAGTTAGAAACATGGATGAGAGAGAAACGTCGATCAGCAGTCTCCCGCACACCCCCTACTGGGGATGTGCCTGCAACCAAGGTACATGCCCTTGACCAGAATCGAACCTGGGACCCTTCAGTCCCCAGACTGATGCTCTATCCACTGAGCCAAACCGGTTAGGGCATATGCATGGTATTTTCTATTGGTAATAAATAACTCAAGAATATTCAAAAATCAAAATAAATGAAAAAAATATTTAAAAATCAACAGATTTCAAATACTGTTTACATGAAGTAAAGCATGTCTATTAAGCACACAAAAATATATTTGACACCAAGTGAGGTGAAATTTACAAGTTACTTTTGTACATTTGTAGTTCTTATGCTTTATAAATTATAATGAACTCTGATATATAAAGCATCTACTGATTAAAGTGTATTCCTACTTCAGTGGCAGCTCATGTGTCAATTCTCCATGAAGCACCTAACCCTCTCCTTCCCGTAACCTGTAACTCCTTGGAATTTCTACAGGACTTTGCACTACACAATGTGTGAGAGGCCCCTTCTGGTGACAAGGATTACAGACTTGCTCAGGCTACCCCAAATGACAAAGATCTAGTGCAAAGACCTATGGGTGATAGGAAAGCTGGAGCGCCCATCTCGGCAGTCAAAGGGGCCTCACAGAGTTCTTACACCAGGTCCCTGCCTTGGCTGCTGCCTAGCTGAGGGCAGTCAGCCTTTGATTGATAAAATTCTCCCTATTTTGGGTAGTTGCAGTTAGGGTGCTGAGCATAATATGACACAAACCAGGAGGACCTATGCATAAGAACCATAGGTAGCCACTCTTCTTGAAAAAGGGTTTGTGGGCCCTGGCTGGGTAGCTCAGTTGGTTAGAGCTTCATCCCAATATGCCAAGATTTCGGGTTCAATCCCATCAGGGCACATACAACAATCAACCATTGAATGCGTAAATAAGTGGAACAACAAATTGATGTTTCTCTCTCTCCCCCTTCCTCACACTCTCTAAAATTAATAAATAAATAACTTTTTAAAAAATTTCTTTATTGGTTAAGGTATTACAAATGTGTCCTCATCCCCCCCATTAACCTCCAACCTCCCCCCCAACCACTTGTGCTCTCATCCCCCTGTTGTCCGTGTCCATTGGTTTGGCTTATATGCATGCATACAAGTCCTTTGGTTGATCTCTTCCCCTTACCCCCACCCTCCCCTACTTTCCCTCTGGGGATTGATAGTCTGATCGCTGTTTCTCTGTCTTTGGATCTTTTGATGACCTACACCCACATTCATATGGCACTGATCAAATCCTGTATGCCAGTTATCTGATATTGATCCTATTTTCTCAATTGGACTGTGAACTGCATGACAACAGAGACCATGTCTTAAATTTAACTCCAACCCCCACCACCACCACAACTATCATAGTGTCTTGTACATAACACGAGATAGTATGCAGAGAAGTGGGCAGTGCAGCATTCTGAC